CTTAATTGATTGGTTGCTTCCCACCTTTGGAGTCAGTTAACCACCGCGGAGATTTGGTTCTATCATGAGGTCCCTAAATGGGCTCCTAGAGTCACTGTAGGGATGGCAGCTAGGGAACCTGTAAGATGCCGATGCAACTGAGTCTCTGAGCAGGCCTTCCCAACTGTGCCCCGAGAGACCTGCTCACAGCAGGTGTCCATCTGGCTTCATGCCTGACACCTGTCAGATCCTTTAAAAAAGGATATGCAGCATAAATGAGTTTTTTTTTAAAAAAAGGATAAACATGAATAGAACTTAAACCTGATTACAGTGCTGATAGTCATGAATATGAATACCATTAAAATAGCATTGTTTAGAAATTGGAAGGTGTCTAAATGCCCCACCACCACCACCAAAGAGGTTGATTAAATAAACTGTAATATAAGGGGACTTCAAAAAATTGGTAGGGAAAAACATAATTAAGAGATAAAAAGAAATGTAAACTTTGCCAACATAAAGCTCCATAGAAGTCTAGATACTTTTGTAAGTCACTGTAGCAGCCACTTAGTCCGTCCATGAAAACACAGAGGGTCCGGGAATTGACCCTTGTCAGTTCAGTATTTTTTTACTGAAGGAAACGGGTGCCCTTTAAAGGTTGGTTGGTTGGTTGGTTGGTTGGTTGGTTGGTTGGTTGGTTGGTTGGTTGTAAGATTAGGAAATAAAAAGACGTAAGGAAGACTCAGATCAAGACAGCACGTTGGATGCTTCATGATTCCCTAACAATGCTTTGCCACATGCCTGTCTTTGCTGCCAGGACTGAGCAGCAGTCTGGTGGTGGAGAAGGGGTCTCGGGTGAAGCTTTCCCAGGGAGTTTCTGCTGCAACTTTGGCTTCCTTTTTCAGACCAAACCAAAAAAGCCTCACTGCTGTCAAGTACATTTGACTCATAGCTTTCTTGAAACACTCATGATAAGCAGGTGTTACCATTCGTTAGTCCTCCAGAAAGTCCTCAAGCAAAATGCTTGGAGCATCCCCAAATCAACCATTGCCGTGACCTTTGGTCTGGACCGGTCAGCTTCTGCTCTGGTGGCCCCTCCCCCCCTCGGTAGCCGTTGCTGTGATGGTACTCGGTCCTCAGGAGCGGATGGGGAAAGCCCTGGTTCATCTCCTCTGACCGTGTATCCAAGAAGTGCTTCAGGATCCTGATCCCATTTGCTTAAAGTTTCCATGGAAAGCTCTGTTCTTGCCCGTAGCTGATCCAGCCCCAACAGTACGGGCATCCGCTGAGCAGAAAGCTGACTCCACTTTTAAGTTGACGGTCAGACGTGTGAGTTAAACCGATTGAGGGCACCCACAAGATGAACGAAGTTGACGTAGATGGCTTGCCACTGCAGGCCTCATCTTCAGCACCGTCTCATCTCTTCTGAAAATGAGGTTGTAAACTGCTGATTTGGGCGTGGCCACTGTGCCCATAACCTTTTTGCAAGCGCCAGTGGCCCGCCATTCTCCACCATGACTTTGATGTTAGCTCTTGCTTCCTTGTCAGCAGAGGCCCTGTTGCTGGCGGGGCCCCACACTGAGGTCCCATCTTTCTCAGTGCTCCGGAGTCGCCCTGGTCAGACACGCCTTCACAAGTTCATACGAGCTGATACTGGTGCCCAAAGTATTGTAAGCACATGCATCGTTTGTTCACCAAACATATTTTGCATGAACTTTTGAAGTCCCCTCATAAAGTGCAATGTATCGTGAGTGTTTACACTGATACAGAGTAATGACTTCGAAAGACATTCAAATTGATGTATAGGAGCCCTTGTGGCAAGGCCAGCAGTCTGAGCTAGCAGCTGCTCCTCAGGAGAAAGATGGGGCTCTCTCCTCCCCTAGGGAGTTACAGTCTCGGAAACTCACAGGGCCAGATCGACGCAGTCCTGTGGGGTTGTGAAGAGTCAGAATTCCTCAGGGGCAGTGAGCTTGGCCTGAGGGTGACGATCCATGGGCTCAGACATGAGCACCATTGGGAGGCTGGCGCAGGACGGACAGTGGGTTCATCTTTGCACACAGGGTCTCTATGAGTCAGAACTGACTGGATGGCACCTGACAACAATAACATATATGATCCTATTTATGGAAGAAACAAATAGACTATATAGAGAGAACAAATGAAAAATATCTGCAGTCATTGGTGATTATCGATGGATAGTTCAACTTGGGGAGAATTTTCTTTTTT